CTAACTTCTTGAGCCTCATCCTAGAAGTCTCTTGATTTGCCCCCCTCATATTCCATGTAATTGTATTAATCATTAGAAAGTTTTAGAGTGGGAAGTCTTGCTAGACCTTGATCTAGTAACCATACGTGTTTAGGAAAGCTCTTGCCTTTGCTGAGTTTCTTGATCCATATCTTCATAATCATTAACAACCCTTCCAGCACCCCTACTAGTAAGTTCCTCATATGAATAAAATCCTCTATCTGGTGGCTCTGTTGTACGATGCAATCCCCGCTCATCATCCATAATTATCATGGTTCCTTCTTGATAGTTGTATTGATGCTCCACTAAAAAATTTGCGTCAAATGAAGGTGAGTTGTGCTGATTTAAGGGAAATTTCCTCATCTCCACTTCCCCTATATTACGTTCTACTTGTTCCTTCAATTCAGTCCTTGTATCTTGTTCCTCTTCTCAATTACACTCCAATTGTTGTGATTTATTAAGTTCATTAATGTCAGAATCCAGTGCTATATTCCCAGCATATTCAGTATCCAATTCCTTCTCTCCCTCATCTCCAGGTATGTCTATAATTTCTATATTCAATTCCTTCTCGCCTTCCTCTCCAGGTTTGTCAATAATTTCCTTTTCAACATTTAAAGTATCTGCCTTATTATTATCTTTACCAGAATGCCCCCCTTTTCAAACGAGCTATCATTAATTTGGATGTTATTGATCCCATGTTTGGTAGTAGAATCTTTCCCTTTTCCTCTTTTATTCTGCCGAATCTAGATCTCATTATTCTTGGCTGTCAAATTTGATTGCTTCAAATTATTCATATCCTTTCTAAACACAGTCCCTCTTTCCTTATCTTGCATTATAAGGTTTCCAACTTGCGTTCCTTGTTTCCTTTTCCCTTTCTCCTTAGTTACCTTTTCAGTCTATGTGCCAGTCAACATAGGATTCTTTCCTTCCATATTAACTTCCAAATCTGGAACCTTTCTTCTTCGACAGTCATCTTCTCCATGGCCCTGTTTCTTGCAAGACTTGCAGTACTTTTTTTTTTTTCCCATAAATGATCTTTTGCCACCTTGCTTCTTCATCTCCCATATCTAACCAAATTCTAGATGGATTATTCACCAGTAGATTAACCTCCACACAAACTCTAGCAACCCCAGGTCTTGCCATAGATAACGTCGTTTGATCATAAGCCAAACCTTGCCGCCATTGGTTTCATCAATAACTCCAGAAACTGTCTCTTAAAAAAATTCAGAGGTAAACCTGGAAGAGACACCCACATAGGGACTATTGAAGGTTCAATTCTAGGTACAAAGGCTGTAAACCACTTAAAAAATCTAAACAAATAGTCCTCAATCAATGTGGCATCTTTCAACCAAACCTTTACATAATCTTCCTATAGCTGAAACCTTATGAGAACATATCTCTGATCAATAACTCTGAATTCAAAGCCACCCTTCAAACTCCATTTTGAATGAATGACTTCCTTAATAATTTTGAGAGAAGGTCTACCATAAGCACACTTACCAATAAGAGCATATTGCAATGTTGAACATGAAGCCTGAATCTCTTCTTTGGTAAAGTAAAAAGCAGGTTCTCCTTCGTAAAAAACAACTGGCCTGTTAATCTTTGGAGCTGTATCCGTATATTCATTATAAGATGAATGCTTGAATAGTGAAGCATAAGTCTGCTGGTTTTTTGCATGGTTTGGTGAGTTGGCTGTGATTGGCTCTTGTGTTTGTTGGTGATTAGATGGTAATATTGGTTGTGATTCTAGTGGTTTTGGTTGATAACCTTGTGTTTTGGGATGAAGATCTGGTGGTTTTGGGGGATTTGGTTAAGGTTGGATGAAGAACTCATTAAAGAAAGAAAATTCTAGAGAGAAGACATACCTTCTCTCTCTACAACTACCTTGGCTTAAGGTTCAAAACTTAACCAAATTGTAAACCCTCTAAAATATGTGCCCTTGTTTATTTGTGTTTTTTAGTAGTTGGAACTAATGGACGTGAGACCATCATTGGAAATCTTCTGTGCACATTAAGCTAACTTATAATTACATATGTTTTGGATCAACTTGTTTCAATAAAAAATTGTTCAGGAAATCTTAGAAAGAGTACAACCAATGAAGTTTTGTTTTTGAGGCTTTGTCCATTTGTCAGTACATAACTGTGAAGTTTGGGAGAAATGTTGGCACTTTTAAGAGCAAAATTAATTTCTTCTATTATAAAATATCTGCTGGTGTTATGAAAATATGTACTTTAAGTACTATTTTGGTTTGGATGCATTTTTTATTTTTCTGTTTGTCGTAATCTTTGGTATGATTTATTGAATAAAAATTTTTTTTAGTCTACCTTTTTTTTGGTCTAATTGACATTTGTTGCTTCTAAAGAAATAAATACATTGATTGTTGTGAAACCAATTCATTCCTTGAAATAATAGGTTGCTACAAATGCCCGTGTGCATCACCCTACATTACTGAAATATAGGCTTGTCAAAGTTTTGGGATTCTATCTCACTGAATTCATTGGTTTATTGATAGAATCTCTATATTATTGCATAACTATTTGTTGATATGGACTTGGTGTTTCATCATGCTTTTAGGGTGGCCCTCAAGATGTTTTATACCGTGGACTATTTTTTCCTAGATGATATCTTGGATACAGATAATTTAGGTTTTAACAAATAAGTTGTATGTTTTTTACTATTTTCTTAAAGCTAGCTAAATATTCTCCTGAAAATGATGGCAACCCAATGTGGGTATATCAAGCTTCAGAGAAGCCCTGCTCATGCATTCATATATTCGAAAGAGGGAAAACTCTACAATAGAAATGTCTCATTCTTGACGGATTCTTGATGACCCTAACGTCTATTAATGGAATATTTAGCCCTTCATGTTAAGCACTACTCCTTAGAAGCACTTCCATGAAACCTATCCTAGCCCACCATAATCCTAACAACATTGCACCTCCACCAATCATCTTTGGTACCACCACACCCCCCATGATCTTAATTTTATGCTATCTTGATGGAGATTCACAGTATTTTAGTCCAAAATTTCTTCCAAATTTGAAGAAGTTTAGTTTAAAGTGGACATAATTTTTTCAAAAAATATTGCAGGATCAGCTTAAACTCCAATTATATTTGGACAAGGTATTTACATTGAGTTGGGTTATGGATGTGGATGGTGTCTAAAAGCAAGTAGGCCTATGATTATTTGGCTTAGGTTCATGTAATATTTAAGCTGTAAATTATCAGTTTTTGGAAAACTGATAATTTGGAAGCGATGTGATTTGGTTGCAATTACACAAATCTCCAAATAGCATTGCTTAACATCTGTTATATTGTGTGACTATGGTTGTCAAAAAACTAGTGTTAATGATTTTATTTACTTCAGACAACAAATTAATCTAAATAATTTTGTCCCATTATTAACAAACCTTTTTACCTGTAGATCACCACAACATGCTGAAGTGCCATGAGATCAAATTACAAAAGGCTAAGAAAAGAACACTAAACTATAACAATAAAGGGGAAAGTTGGTTTCTGAATGTAGGCATGAAAGGCATTCATTTCATAAGTATGCGATCAAGTGATGATTCATGTAAAATTGAGCCAAAGGTAGGTTTTATGAAATGCATTTTATAAAAACTCAGCAAAATTATGGTTTTTTAGGTGTACAAAAACAAAGATGTTAGAGAGACATTTGCTTTTGGAAAAAATGACACAAGACTTTAATTTACATATTTTACATTCAAATAGTTCGTCTGCAACGCACATGTACACCTACTAGTTAATACTAACAACACCACATTAAAGTTAGCACAACCAAGCACAACCAATAACAAAAGTCATAGTTCATACAAAAATGAAAAAGGAAAAGCATTAATGTTACCAAATGGGGCTTTAATGAATGATCCACCAAGAAGACTAATGGAGGAAAAAATTGAAAGGGATTTGGATGGCTCTTTGTAGGATAAGGACAACTTTGACACTAAATGAGGTACCATATCAAAAGTATAACATTTTAACATCAAATTATAATTTTTGAGGTATAAGTTATAATGCAGAGAGTCATGGTCGATTATAAAATATTTTGATCAATAATAAAAAATAAAAAATTTAAAAGTCAAGAAAAAAATTGAAAAATTAATTTAGAACTGCTTGAGGTTATTTATGAATGATTATAATATTTTATGGTAATTTATTACATTTTTCGTAGGGTAGTCATTTCTTTGAGTAAACACTACAGTATCAATTTTTACTTTTCTATATTAATAACTAAAAAAAAGACACGTGCTCAGAAATACCGAGCTACACAAGTAGGACTAGCTCCAGCTTGCTAGCTCCCCAATCCTTGAGCTCGGCAGAGTCCTGACTTATAAGAACTTTGATTAGTTCAACTCAACTATTGCCTCCACTTAGCTAGTAAGACTATGTCAAACATGTAAGGTACAACTGTCCCAGATCAATAGGTAGAGAAGGATCCATTAATGGCCTAACTAAATGGCCTATAAGAGGGGAGTCCATGAAGATGAGCAAGGTAAGTGAATCTAACACTAGTATAAGCTTTCTCGGCCTCTTCAATTCTCCCTCTCTGACTTAGCCATCAAAGGGTTAACCTCCAGAGCCCCTCTGGTCTTTGACTTGTCCTTTTAGGTATCTACTAGGCAGTCAAGGCACAAATCTGACTGACCAATACATCTGGAGCTTGACGAACTTTTTCAACCATCATCAGTTGGCTCCGTTTGTAGGAAATGAGAGTTTTTCAATTCCAAAATCTTTTCATTAAACTTCAGGTCTTATGGCCGTTACAAGGTCGAAGGATCTTGGTAGGGATCAAACCCATGATAACGAACACCCAAGATCGCATCTAATGTACTAAAGGAATACAACTCCTTTGAAAAAAGAAACAAGAAGAGTTAAAAAGCTAGAGAGAATAGTGAGGGAACTGGTTCGCTTGAGCCAACAAATTCTTCAACTTTTTTCTAACCAGCAACACCTCATTTAAACTAAGTGCTATCTCTTCTTTCTCCTTCAAATTTTGAAGGTCCTTTTCTTAAGAATCCACCAAGTCGTTCTGTAGCTTCAATATCTTCTCCTCTAGGTGATAGCTTCAATATCTTCTCCTCTAGGTGAAGGAATTCATTTTCACAAGACATCCTAGCAGCCAAGACTGTATAAGAGACAGTAGTGGAAAGGATAAGCAACTGCATGAATAAAGGGAAGAAAAGTATACTTGAATGAATAAAGGGAAGATAAGCATACTACTCATATGGGGAGGCTATGTAAAAAGAAAAAGGAAGGAAGAAGAAACTGTAAGATTTTTCACCTTCCCAATAGTCTCCTAGAGAGCAACCACAACCCAGTTGGACCCCATTCTATAGGCAGCCTAAACATCGCTATCATCAACAAATCTAAGGAGACGAACCCTAGCCTCCTCTCCGTTCTCACACATTGAAGGCCTAGACTCTTTAGGGGCCTACCCCACTACAGTCTCAATTTCTGAAAGTTTTCTCTTCCCTTTGTCTTTGGAGCAGAAGGGGAGTCAGCAAGCAGCAGAGGTACCTTGGGTATAGCTGACTCTTCCTTGTAGATGTTGGCGAGGTCCAGCCCTTTCATCTGTAGTACCCTTGGAGGTCGGAGAAATAGATGCAAGCATTGAAAGAGCATTAGATGGAATGCCAAAACTCAGAAGAGTATCCGGGGGTTGGAGGGCTAGAGGCTAGTGTAAACAGTACAATAATAGCTTTGGGGCAGGACTTAGTTGGCACTTGAATAAGGCTTGATCAGTGACTAGGTTAGACAAGCTCTTGGTATGGTAAGACAAAGTTGTCTCAACTTGGAGTTTGAGTTCAATAGGAAGAGGACCAGATTTTTTTGTACCAAATAAACACATTAGGACAGAGCCACCAAGGAAAGAAGTAAAGAGAAGAAAATAGTAACTCACGAAGAGAGTGGGGTGGAGATCCTCATAGGCGAGCAATCAAAAGAGGTCTGCTAGAGAGTACCTTTGGGGGGGGGGGGCTAAACTCCTAACTAGACATGGGCACGACGAAAAATTTATCATTCCATTCCTTGACATTGGAGGAATAGCTGATAAGAAGCTCGATCTTCTCTCTTTTGGAAAGGTAGAACCACCCTTTGCTTTACCTAAAACAGGGTGTAAGCTTGTAGTAATGGAGAAGTTATGCTATGGTAAGGCGAGCACCCACACCATTGGCTCTTGCCCAAAGAAAACCAATACAAACCAGAAACCCCCAATTGTTCGAAGTTAACTAAGAAGGGTCAAGATTTAGATAATGAAAGGGCTTCCCTGATACACTGAGCTAAAGGGAATAAAAGCCCACTCTAAAAATCAACTCGTAAAAGTAAACTTCGTTGGGCCCAATGGAATCGACAGGTTCCTTTGAGGAAGGAAGACAAATGAAAATGATGAGAGCATAATATTGCGTATTATAAGCCTCATAAACATTCATCTTAGTTATGCTTGTCGCTTAATTCCTTTAATTTAGTTGATTTTTGTATTTTATAGTGATTTTGTGTGTTTGTAGTTGAATTGGTGTAAAAACGAGAATTGACACGTGTTTCAATGTCATAGAAGACTTGGGGCATGAGCTAAGAGGTCCACGAGTGCAGCCAAATCCATTGTAATAAAAAATGAGGAAAAGATCACTTCTACCAGTAGGTCTTCTACCGGTACAATGGAGGTTAGAAGTTGGTTCTACCGATAGGTCATCACTCCTTACTGGTAGGTGCAATCCAGAGAGTTTTCCTACCGGTAGGTCATTTTCTGGTTCCTAATGGCAAGTTCATGAAGATTTGGTAATTAAGACTATTAAGTAAGGCAATCTACTGAAGATTTCAAGGGCTATGATTGGTGGACAGAAAAGAAAAATTTTAGCAAAAAATCTTCTATAAATACCCTAGTCTAGCAAAAGAGAAGGGGGCTTCCATTCCATCATTTAATTCACCATTATTTTTCTTCTCTCTTATGGGTCTTAGTCTTTCTGGTTTTTTTTAGTTTTTCTCTATTGTATATCTTCTTGTTTACTCGTTGACAAATGAGACTTGGCACAAGTAATTCTTGTAATCACTGTAAATTCCATTAATTGATTCAATTGACTTGTAAACACATTTGCATTTATTAATTGGGTGTTAAATGAATATCAACTGCTTGAGTGCGCTTGACCGCAATCTTGAGTGAGTTATAGAATTTGAGTCAAAATACCTATTTTCAATGAGGTGATCTATATCGATGGACATATTCTTTCTTTTAATTGTTGTTTTCTTAAAGTGATTTATTTTTCAACCCAATTCTCAAAATTCAAGATTTTCTTTTTCTTTTAATCATCACCTCTTGAGCTTTTTGTTTTTCTTGTGGAGACGACCTCGGTAATCGACTGAGTTAAAAAATGATACCCCTTCCTACGCTTGCAAATTCCTCTTAAATTTAATCAACTCAAAGGAGTAAGTATTTTTGGCGCCATTTCCGAGAAAAATGGTTTAGATTTAAGGGTGATTCAGAGGTTGCCAAGGTAAGTCTCGTGATTAACATCATAGCTCAGGTGCATTCTTCACTGTATTTTATCTTTAGTTTGCTTATTTCTTTTTAGTTCCTGTGCATAATCTATTTTTTGTTATTTACTTTTCTTTTGTATATGGGTAAGAGACATACTTCATAATAGACTTGTAAGACTTGATCCCACACACATTGAAATGGATGAAATTAACAACGAGACATAACTTTTCTCTAGGTCCACTGGGTCCAAATAATGGGAACGTTGGAAATAATCTCCCACCGACTCCATATGTGAGAACGATGAGAGATAATATTCAACCAATTTGTTCCTCCACTTCTTCATGCATACTTTTACATGTGCAAGCATAGACTTTTTTTGTAAAATCGGGGATGCTCCAACTGCTTTCACAATTCTATTGTGTGGATAGGGAATACCCCTACCTTCATATCAAGGGAATTTGAGGAGGTAGTTAGCACGTTCCTAGAGCAGAATATGCATGAGAAAGTGGCAAGAATGAAGCTATTCCTGTTCTCATTAAAAGATAAGGCAAAGAATTGGATCAACTCTCTAAAGCCTCGAACTATGGCTACGTGGCTGAGTTGTAAAAAGAGTTTCTTAAAAAAAAAAATTCTAGTTCATAGAACAACTAAACAAATTTTTTCTGAAAAATCTAATGAACTATTTTATGACTATTGGGAGAGATTCAAAGATCTCTTAAATGCCGTACCACATAAGGCTTTGAATCATGACAATTTGGTGAGTTTTTTAACGAAGGAATTACACTAGCTCATTATCAGTTCATCAACATGATGTGTAACAACAGATTTTTGAGTAAAGAGCCCGAGGAGGCATTAGACTATTTTTATAATTTAGTGGAGAATGCCCAATCTTGAGATATTTCTGATCTCGCTAACTGATTAACACAATCTAATCCATCCCAGTCTATTGGGGGTGGAAAATATGCAGCAAGACGAGTTATTTGACAAGATTGCTCATATATCTAGGGAAGTTGAAAATTTAGAGGTTAATAAGGTGAATGAGGTGGTAAGTGTGACTCAAGAGGAACCTTGTTCTTTGTGTAAGTCGGTTGAGCATACTGTAAAATATTGCTTGACCTTACTAGTTTGTAAAGAGGTTCTCCAGGAGCAGGTAAATGGCTTTAATTAGACTAGGGTTGGCGTAGCCACCCAAACTTTAGTTGGAGAAATGACACCACTGCTCAACCCTCTACCTCTATGCCATATGTCCCTCTAGTTCAACCTGTTACTGGTCCTATTTAGTCTTCCACTAATCAGTCTTTGCACCCATTACCTATCTCAATAAGGGTTTTCTCCCCAATGGTAACTCAGTGTACCACCATACTAGCCTCCTCACAAGTATCACTTAATTCAGAGCCAGAGTACCATAAACAACCAAACCAATCAAACTTTGAATGACATTAGGTCTCAAATGACCAAGATAACTAACACTATGGGGAAGATGCAAAAAGAAAAGGGAAAATTCCCTTCGCAACCCTAAAAGAACCCCAAGGGTCAACATGGGATTTGAGTTCTAATGTCATAAGTAATGAGGAGCAGCTTAAGTCCATAACTACTCTTCATAGTGGTAAGAAAATTGACAAAACTATCCCACCCAGAGTCTCTAAGCCTACAGAAAAAGAGACTTGGGGTACTCCCAAGGATAGTGAGTCATTGGAGTTGCCTAAGGTTGTTGGATCTGATGAGGTTAATTGTCCAATTCCTGCTCCCTATCCTAACCGATTGAAAATGCCTAAAAAAACAAATCAAGTTAAAATTCTTGAATTGTTTAAGCAGGTAAAAATAAATATTCCTCTCCTTGATGCAATCTGACAAGTGTCTTCATATGCTATGTTTTTAAAAGATTTGTGCACTGTTAAGAGAAAATTGCACATCAAGAAAAAGGCATTTCTGACGGAGCAGGTAAGTACCATTCTCCGAACCAACACTCCACCAAAGTATAATGATCCTAATTGTCCCACCATTGAAATTATCATTGGGGATTGTAGGGTCAAACAAACACTTTTAGACTTAGGTGCGAGTGTGAATCTATTACCCTTCTGCATTTACAAGTAGGCTTCAGAGAATTGAATCCTACTTCAATTATTCTACAATTGGCAGATCGGAGTGTAAAAGTACCGAGGGGATAGTGGAGGATGTGTTGGTTTAGTTAGATAGGTTTTACTTCCCTGTCGATTTTATAATCCTGAACACTACACCGGTTGCTAACCCAACTGCAAGATTCCCATCATTTTAGGATGCCCATTCTTTGCAACATCTATTGCATTAATAAATTGCAGGAGTGGTGTGATAAAATGTTCTTTTGGGAATATGACTGCTAAATTTAATATTTTCCATGTAGCGAAACAACCGGGCAGTGAAGGAGAGTTTTGTGAGATAGACCTGATAGATGAGTGTGTGGAGGAGAAATTTGAAACTTCTATGTATTCTGATCCTCTTCAATTATGCTTGATTAATTCTGAATGTAGTGAAAATAACTTCTAGTCTTTTTTTTAAATTGACTTGTTATAAAACTAGCAGGAGTTACAAGGTGCGGAGAGGAACCTCCAACAAGAACTGTTCTTTGCTGAAAGCAAATCCCGAGAGAAGTCGAGTATTGGACAATTGGAGTCTGGTTGAACTCATTGAATAAACTATTTCTTTTTGTATATTAGATTTTTTAGTTAACTTCTTATTTTTGGTTTAATTAGTTTTTGTTGTTTTCTTTTATGTTAATTTGTTCTTTTTTTTTTGTTATGCAGTTAGTTTAGTTAGGTGTTGTGCCCATGTGTTTTCTTGCCCTTACTTTTTTAATGTTACTCATTGCCTTATCATTATTGCATTGAGGACAATGCAAAGTTTAAGTTGGGGGTGAGGAGAGCTAGTTGTACATAGTGAAAAGTTTGAAATTTTTTGAAAAAATATGTCTATTTGAAGGATACTTGTTATTTCTTAAGAGGTGGTGATGTAGATATGCTATATGATATCTGAATTGGTTGCATGATGTACTTTAGAGACTTTTAGTCTATGCTTAAATATCATAGTCATGTCTGTATTAGAAACCAAATTTGGTTCATGATGA